TGCAAAGATCTCTGCATGCCGTGGAAGTGACAACCTTAGGTTTTGTCATAAGTGGTTAACTTTTCTCATGTTGGACAGTGAACTGGGCATGAAATTATTTCTGCCCACAGGACCTTCACCTATTAAGCTGTTCTTCACATTTCACATAGCAGGCTCACCGCTGTCAGTGTAAAAGGTCTCTGTTAGAGACCCATGGGAACTGGGCAAGAGTCGGTGTGAGAATAGTCAGTTTGTCACCGAGAGGCTGTGGTGTGGCATTAACCCGGGACCGTGATACAGCTGCGTGTCTGCTGGACTTGCAGAGCTTCCTGCCAGGATGCCACAGTGCCAGTAACAGATGTGAGGAGCATCAAACTGTTCAGCCCACGGAAGGGCAAGGCAGGCTGGGGAGGCTGGCACTCGGTCCGACTCCACCCACACGAAGGCTCGACTGTCTACAAAGTGTCCCAAAGAAACACAGTTTTCTGAGTATTGTGACTGGGAATGGATTCGGAAGCATACACTAGAGTAATTTTAAATCATGGTTCCATTTCTTTCTGACCGTAACGTTTTAAATATTTAAGAGAGTCTGATTACTTTCTTATTTGCAATTTTGATCAGGTGTCTTATCTTTAGTAGTATTATTTTGTTAACATTTGTTAACTAATGTGACTAGAATTAATCTCATAAATGACATGCTAAGGGATGGCAAGGTTCTAATGGTCTGCTTTTCTCCTTCCCAACCTATATTTCTGCTTTGAAAATGGAGCACAGGTCCTCACCTTACTTATCAATGCAGCTTACAAACCCAGCCGTGTCCTTCGGGAGCTGCAGCTGGACAAAGACTCTGTGTGGCATGGATGTGGGGAAGTCCTCAAGGCCAAGTGAGTAGGCTCCTCCGCCTTTATGCATATGCACCCTTAACAGGTCACAGAATCAGTTCTCCCACGGGTCATATTAGAGCACTCAGGTTCCTTGGGCAGTGCTGCTTCAGCTATTTGTGGTGAAGGCCCAGGTTTGTTTTCTTGTAAGTTTCCATTCTGTCATGGACCAGCCCTTTTATAAGATATGCTAGAAATGAATTATATGAAATACGAAATTTAAAAGGCATAGAATTCAAGAACAGTTTTCACTGTTACTAGATTTTAGAAACATAGAATTCCTTTTTCAAACTACTGTGAAAGTTCATAAACGTTTACTCTTGTTTTCTGCCCTGAACTTGTCATGGGTGTATGGCAGTTGTCAGGTTTTACTGGGCCTCACACCACACTCTGAGGATACGGCCTGAGGGAGGAAGACAGCGAAAGTCACTTTTCTGTTATTAGTGTGGAAGTTACTATTTGAAAACCTTAAACTTAGGAACAGGAAGCAGGAACCTTATTTTGCCAATTTAAGTAACTCAGCTTTTAGTTGTCATAGCTCACTAGATTATAAATGTAAGTATATAATACATAAACTCCATATTATTTTTGGAGTCTTAAAATATAAAAGACAGACTAGTCTAATAAGCAGAAATACTCTATATTCTAGCATGCAAATATTAAGACGCTTGATTTTTCTCTGGATAATCACTAGCCCAATAAACTTGGTGTCTGATGTCTTCCTATGGCAGATACAAAGGGAAGAGTTATCGGGCTACTGTTGAGATAGTGAAAACAGCGGATCGGGTGACTGAATTCTGCCGGCAAACCTGTGTCAAACTGGAATGCTGTCCCAATCTGTTCGGTCCACGGATGGTTCTGGATAAGTGTTCTGAGAACTGCTCTGTACTTACAAAGACCAAATATAGTGAGTCATGTTTTTCAGATTTGCTAACTATAGCAGCTGACCATACCTTGTATCTTGGAAAGTTTTTATTGCGCAGACTCACATATAGCAGAGGTATACAAACTTATTCGGTGAAGGACCAGATAATAAATATCTTAGGCTGTGGGTCATGTGATCTCTGTTGCATATTTTTGTTTGTTTTATTTTCATGTTTTTTTTTAAAAAAAACTTTAAAAAAATCTAAAAACCATTTTAGCTTGAGAGCTATACCAAACAGATCATGTGCCAGATTTTGCCAGCTTTTATATCTAGCATGTATATAAATTAGCTATTGAAGGTATTAGGATATGTAATGCATTCATACAATCTGCAAGTGTTTATTATGTGTCTGCTGTGTGCTGACACTGTGCTAGCACTGGGATATAAGAGTAAAGAAAAAAAATTTCTGTTCTCATTGAGTTTGCATTTTAATGTGGGAGACAGATAATAAACAAGTGAATAAATATATAGGGTGTTAAGTATTGTGGATAACAATGAAGCAAGATGAGCAAAGTAGGAGAGTTTTCTAATAGGAAACAACCTGAAGGAAGCCAGAGAGCCAGCCCCAAGACAGACGTCAGGGTGAGAATGGGTAGGGGCAGCAAGAGTACAGGCCTGAGGCAGGAGCGCGCTTAGTGTCTGTGAGGAACAACAAAGAGGCCACAGTGTTTGGGAGGCATCCATAGTAGGAGGGGTGGTTGCAGACCTCGCTCTGAATCATATAATGACACCTGTTCCTTCTCATTGTGTTTCTTCTCTCTTGTGAAACTGCAACAAAAAAGCAAGTGATAAAGGATGAAATTTCCAATTTGGAACTTTTTCAAGGCACTGTTATCCAACCACAAAATTCTGTTCCTAACTTTCCTTAAATTGTACAAGCCCTGATGTCACCTGGGAGAATTAACACAGAGCAGGACTTTATCTTGATAAATTTGAAGATTGCTTTTAGGGATCTCTCATTCTGTGCCTCTTAAACTTTATCATGCATGCAAATTCCCTGATGATCTTGTTAAAGGGCGGTTCTGACTCATCAGGGACCCAAGTGTCTGCATGTCTAAGACTCCCAGGTGCTGCTGATACTGTTGATCTAAGGGCCATATTTAGCATGATGAGTTTTATAATCAGGACTTGAATGATAAATCATAGAAGAGTAACCTTCCAGTTTCTATTTATACTTATTGGATTGTAAATTTCTTAAGGGTAGAGATTGTCTCAGCTTATTATGTTAGATTCAGCACTTAGGTTAGCAAATTGCCAAAAAAAAGCTGCAGTTATTAGCAGGTAAGTGAAATATGCTATTCATGCAAGTGTATATACAACTATGCCACTTTGAAGCTTTGGAAGATATATAGATTTTATTATGTCTTTTATCTGAATTTATTTTTCCACAATGATATAAGTGAAATTAGACTAAATATTAGGAGTCTTTATAATTTTTCTCAATTAATAATTTGAGTGATGTAAATGGATTTATATCCTTTGGAATTCATTTTTTTTTGGTAAAAATTATAGTATATATTCATCTTACATTAGTATATAACAGAGCTAGAATGTACGTTTCAATTTTAGAATTAGCTCTGTAATCTAAAATTTATAGGAAAATGCAAAGGACCTAGAAGAGGCAAAACATTCCTGAAAAAAAAAGAAGAATAAAGTTGGAGGACTTACTCTGTCTGACTTCAAGTTTTACCATAAAAATGTAGTAATCAAGAGTTGGGTGTTGATGAAAGAATGTCAGGTAGAGTGATGAGACCAAGGAGAGTGTCCAGAAATGGAGCCAAACTTATATAGTTAAATGATTTTCAACAAAGATGACAGATGTAAGGGGGGCGGGATTCTTTCAACAAATGGCACTGGTACTATTAGATACCCAAATTGAAAAAAACAAGCAAAACTCCTTGTCTCCTACCTTACTGCAAATAAAAAGCAATGCAAGCTACGTCATAGACTTAAGGCCTGCGCCCTCTCATAACCGGGGACCCCTTGGGGGATGTCAGAGAGCCGGTTTTGGCCCGATCCCTGCAGGCCAGGCTGAGGGACCCCACCAGTGCATGAATCCGTGCACCAGGCCTGTAGTAAATTAATAATAATACAAGAATAAACTGTTTTGCATTCTCACAACTGTAAACCTACTTTTGCCCCTCCCTGTGTGTTTTTAAATGATTAATTGAATGTTATGTGATTGTTATCTCACTTAAAAAAAAAAAAAGAGAAACAAAATATCCTGGAATTAGATCACAGTGATGGTTGTACAGTATAATGCATATACCAAAACCACTGAATTTGTACACTTTAACATAATGAAGTTTATGTTATGTGAATTATAGCTCATTAAAAATGAAAGAAACAAAAAAGATTTGAATATAGACACGTCACAGAAAAATATATGCAAATGGCCAATAAGCACATGAAAACATACTCAATATCGTTAGTGATCAGGAAAATGTAAATTTAAACTACAATGAAGTTACTGCATATCCACTAGATTGGCTAAAATGAAAAAGACTGACATTCCCATATACTGGCAAAGGCGTAGAGCACCTACATCTCTCATACATTGCTGATGGGAGTATAAAATTACACAACCCTATTAGAACACTGGCAGTTTCTTCAATAGTTAATCATACATTCACTGCTGGTGTGGCTCAGTGGTTGAGCATCAACCTGTGAACCAGGAGGTCATGGTTCAATTCCCGGTCAGGGCACATGTCCAGGTTGTGGGCTCAATCCCTGGTAGGAGGCATGCAGGAGCCAGCCGATCAATGATTCTCCCTTCCTCTCTGAAATCAATAAAAATATATAATTTTAAAAAGTTAATCCTACATCTATCATATGATCCAGCAATTCCTTTCCTAGTTATTTATCTAAGGAAAATGAAAACATGCCCACTAAAAACCATGCACAGAATGAACAACCTGGAAACAGCCCAGGCACCCACAAACAGAATAGATACACTGGTAAAGTCATACAATGGAATGCTATTCATCAGATATGAAGGCATGAACTACTTATACACACAACAGCAAAGACGAACCTCAAAAACATTATGGTTAATGAAAGAAGCCTTGCACAAAAAAGTACCTATTGCGTGGTTCCAGAGATGAGACAGGCTAACTTATAGTGATGAAAATCAGAATAATGGTTGCTGCTTGTGACGGGGGCTGACTAAAAAGGGACCCTAGGAACTTCCTAAGTTGATGGACGTGGCCTGTGTCTTGATGGGGGGAGGATTATTCAGGTATATGCATTTGTTAGTACGAATCAAACTGTACATCCGAGGCAGCGGTTCTCAACCTGTGGGTCGCGACCCCTTTGGCGGTCGAACGACCCTTTCACAGGGGTCGCCTAAGACCATCCTGCATATCAGATATTTACATGATGATTCATAACAGTAGCAACATTACCGTGATGAAGTAGCAACGAAAATAATTTTATGGTTGGGTCACAACTTGAGGAACTATTTAAAGGGCCAGAAGGTTGAGAACCACTGCTCTAAGGGCTCTACAGTTAAGGTTATTCCACTTGTAGGAAATTTAAACTTTAATCAAATGCAGTGTACCTGTTTTCTGCTGTGCTAATAGAATCTCTTGTGGCTTGAGGTGCACAAACATAATGAACTGCTTCCGTTTTCTCTGTCATTCACGTTTAGCACACTATTATGGGAAGAAGAAAAGTAAAAGAATTGGGAGGCCGCCTGGCGGGCACAGTAACTTAGCATGTGCCCTGAAAAAAGCCAGTAAGAGGAGAAAGAGGCGGAAAAGTGTTTTTGTGCACAAGAAGAAACGCTCCTCTGCATCTGTTGATAATACCCCGGTGGGCTCTCCTCAGGTATGAGATCTGATGTTCCTGTGACATCTAGAAGCCAAGGGGTCACTGCTTTACAGTGCAAACTCAGAAAGGGCACCTGCTCTTTCTCATTGAGATCCATGGCCAGTCGAAGATGGTTTTGTGGCCCCAGAACTGGTGTGTCCTGATTTTCAATGAACCTTCTCTCATTTTCTCCTAGGGAAGTGGGGGTGAAGATGAGGATGACCCCGATGAAGGAGATGACGATTCTCTGAGTGAGGGCAGTACTTCTGAGCAGCAGGACGAGCTACAGGAAGAGTCAGAAATGTCAGAAAAAAAGTCATGTTCCTCTTCTCCCACCCAAAGTGAGATCTCCACCTCACTGCCTGCAGACAGACAACGGAGGAAAAGGGAGCTTCGGTCTTTTTCATTTTCTGATGATGAGAACAAGCCGCCTTCACCAAAGGTGCCCCCTTTTTCACAGTGCACTCTTCTCTCTCGGATTTCTGTCTAGAATGTAATTGTTAATGATGTTGGCACTGCACTCATTTAATAACAGGCTTCAGTTGAATTTCCTGGGTCGCTTTTTAAATGATTCCACATTCAGTGATTTACTTGTGTTTCAAGGATTATTTGGAGATTAACTGTTTATTAGGAGGAAGGTCTCAGAGTGGCTGCTTGTCTTGAGTAAAAGAATGTTTCATTGCTAGCTTGTTTGTAGCCTGTCTTTTAGTTTAGGGAAAACTTCCTTTTTAATATTTTTCATAAATGGTTTTATTGAAATATAATGGTTTTGTAGAAATAAATTACCTTTTGTTCTGGTTAAGCTATCTTGTTTAGTATATTTAACATATACATATCTGTATATTATATAACATATACACACTAAAGTTGGCAGTTAAGTTGGTGTTTTAAAACTGGGTTGCTTTTTAAATATATTCTATGAACAGAAGCAACAAATGATTTCTCCTGACAATTTAGCTAATACTTCTGTCATTGGAAATAGCATCCCATTCACTTTAGCACCCACCAGAGAGTGAGTTGAAATTGACTGAGAAACAAGTGGGAGATTTGTTTAAAAGTGATTTTTCTGTTAAATTGTCCAAATGATTTCTTCGGAAACTTTGAGATAAAATTTTCCCCATTGATTTTTCTTATTATGAAAGATCAACATTTCCTGAGTTCCTAGTGTAGATGGGCCTTTGCCATCTTTGCTGGGAGAAATCACCTCGTAAAACCGTTTTAAATCCTGCCTGGAGGGGTTATGAATTTAAATAGAGAGACTTTTGAAGATTGTAATAACTCTTACACCATTGGTTTGCCTTTGTTGTGGGGAATGAAGGAAATCAGGATTGAAGTTGCTGAAAGGCTTCACCTGGACAGCAACCCCCTGAAGTGGAGTGTGGCCGATGTGGTGCGGTTCATCAGGTCCACCGACTGCGCTCCGTTAGCAAGAATATTCCTAGACCAGGTAACCGCCGGCACCTTTCGCTTTTAGTAAGAGGTTTCTTTAGCCAAGGAGTGTGGGTGCACTAGCAATTCATTTACAAGTCTTAGGAAAGATATTTCTGTGCAAAAGAAAAAACTCTTTTAGTTCCCATTTTAGGAATACAAATATGTCAAAAAGTCATTTATCTGACTTCCTTCATAGTTGAAGCAAATTATCATTGCATTCCCATTTTTCCTAAGAATTTATTTCCATCCCGCAAATATTTAAATGGCTTAAAATTAAGTATGCCATGCTTATTGCCCTCCTCTTTTCCAAAAATAACAGTTGGCGCATTTTAAGAAAATAACGTCTGTAATATATTAGGCTCTGAAGTTGTGATAAATTTTAAGGCAACTTTTCTGAGACAGAAATATCTGTGGTCTTAAATAAATGTTGAAATAAATTTGTTTTGATAATTGGGGAGATTCAAAGCTGAACATCTTTGAAGAACTTATCGGGCTTTTATGAATGTTACAGAGAAGGAAAACATTGAAGTTTATCGTTAATATCTTTCAGATTTAGAAAGAGTCCTCTAAAATGTTTCTTTTGGTGCATTTAATTGCTAGTTACAAGGCTAGGTAATTTACTGAATTTCTGCGAGCAGAAACTGTAGAGTGGATTCTTATCCTTGGTAAAGCTTTGTTATTAATTATGAAGATCCATTGGTATGGAGGACTATGAGAGGCACCTAAACGGAAATGTGTGATACTTATTCAAAGGGGAAAAGTAATGAAAACATAGGGACTCTGATTTTGACTAAGCTAGAGTGAGTGGGGGCTGTCATGATTGAGCTGCTATTTATGTGCACATCATACATAATTTGTATTTTGTGTTTTAACAGGAAATTGATGGGCAGGCCCTGCTGCTCCTTACCCTTCCCACCGTTCAAGAGTGCATGGACTTAAAATTAGGCCCTGCCATCAAACTTTGCCATCACATAGAGAGGATCAAGTTTGCTTTTTATGAGCAGTTTGCCAACTGAGAAGGACAACCAAAGTGAGCTGTATCTTTGAAGCACAAATGCAGCAAATCCTTCGCCTGCTCTATGAGTGGAGCTGAAATAGTGCTGGGGTGCTGGGCCCTGCAGGTGTCGGCTTGTTCTCTTTGCACTTTCGGGGAAGAAGGTCCCACAGTGAGGAAGCAAAAACTGCACAGAAGTGGCTCCCCTGCCAGTGGAAATGGGAGCATCTCTCATTCAGCAGATGGCAGTTTTAAAAAAATAAAGTTGTGAAGCAACGACTCATACAAGAAGAAGCAGCGTTTCCAGGGGTGTGGCCTAAACAAAGACTAATCTAGGCTGCAGGAAAGCCCCCTTTTGGGAGTTTTCTTTTTGTTATGTCCTCTCCTGTTGTCGATTGAACTTTGTTCTCTGCTTTCTCTTTCTTGGAAAGAGAGGACCTGGCTTTAAGGCAGCACTGATTTGGGACTGCACCTAAGGCAAACCAGTGCTTCACTGTCATCGTGGTTTTGAGCTATTTTAAATTAAAACAGTTTCTTTTGGGGATGATTATGTGGCTCTGGGGTTTTGAATGTGCAGTCACACTTGGCCCAGTTTGAAGTCTGTTCTTAGGAGTCCCTTTGTTTACTACCTCTGTTGAGAATTGAGCTTGCAGCCATGTGTGAGGTTTTTGTATGGTGCCATTTTAAGGTACATGAACACTAAACTTATGGCAGAAGTTGGAGGGGGAAAACACTGTTTGCTTCCTCAAAAACATTGTGTGAGCACTTACACCAGTTCCTTAACTGACCTGATCTAAGAACTTGACTGTCATTGTTTTCCATCTTGACCTAGCATGGGCTACCTGTTTTAAGAAATATCTCAAAGACTGTTGGTATTTCAGTTTAATTGCTCTCTCCCCATTAGTTTTCAGAGGGACTTCAGTGGCTTTTATTGTGTTTACTTCTCTTCACAGTTGTTTGTCTGTTTCAGTTCTTAAAGTCCTTACTTGGGATAAAAATCAGTAGGTATTTCTTGGACCCACCATTAGGTCCATTTTCCCTTTCTCCATGTCTTGAGACAGGTAGTATAGAAGCACAAGAAAGAAAACAGGTTTGAGGGCTTATGCAGAGCATGGAGTTTCTGTAACTATTTCCTCAGTGGCTAGATAAAGACTGAGCGGTGGTTAAGGATTCTGGAAACCTCTTTGCCTAGTCAGGTTTACAATTTTCTTCAGTTAAGTCTTTAAATTGAATATAATTTATAGTCTGAGGATTCCTACTCAGTAACGCAGTTTTCTTTTAGGTGTTTCTTTGACCCAGCTCAAGTTGACATGAAGCTACAGGTGAATTTCACTTACCATTGCACTAATAGCTATTATAGGATAATAGCATTTGCTATACTGGTCCAGCTGTTGAGGAAAGATTGCTTCCTTTAAATGGTTTGCTTTGCTGAGGGTATTTTTAAAAATTATCCTAGTCAGCTGCAAATTTATAATATAATCATTCCTCTCCAAGATTTGAAAATGTTTTGGAACTACAAACTGGGTAAATTCCAAACAGCTCTACAAATACAAGGTAATACTATCAATGAAAAATGATTGTGATTTTTTTCCCCCTTTTCATTCCCTTGACCCGCACCTGTTTTTATAGACATTGGTAAACATATTTTAGTTTAGACCCTCTCTTCATTGGATAATTTATGAACCATCTTAATTCAAGCCCTCCAACCAAACCATCTATTAAAACATCAGCTCTTTGTTTAGGCTGCTACCAGATATACCTGGAAAGAAGCTTCATTTAAGCAAAAATTAATATGTTTGACCTTACTCACAGCCCAGCTTTTGAAAATGTGATTACTTCTATGCCCACAGAAGAGAAGCATATATAAGATGCTTGGGAACAGTTAGCATTAAGCAGATAGACTTTGGAGGAGGGCTGTAGCTTGAATAATCAAGTCTCCTGAGAGCTCAGCAGTCAAGGCACCAAGGTAGAGGAGATTCCTGGAAGATCAATGGGACAAAAAAAATCTGGAATTAATTAACACTGTTGTCTTATTTAGGAAAATGAGGTTTATTTTCTATAAGAGGAAATTCCCACATGCAACAGTGAACACGGGGTGGGGCAACAGTAGGTTTACAGTTGTTTGCATGGAAAATAATACAATAATTAATAAATAATAATACAAGAATAAACTGGCATACTCACAACTGTAAACCTACTGTTGCCCCTCCCTTTTTTGTTATTATTGCCTCTCTTTTGATTTCTCCTGAAACCACTGAATTAGGATCACCCCCCATCACAAGTAAAGGATGAAAAGCTCCTGGAAGGGAAACAAATGGCCCTATGTAGTCTGATTTGGATAGAGTTGCGTCCCAACCAGCTCATATACATTTACCATGATTAATTCAAGCTCAGCTTCCTCCTAGAGAGAGGCTGACGCTAAATTGGCACCTCAAGCCACAATTGTGCACAAGAAGAAACGCTGGTAAAGTCCTACAATGCTGTTGTGTAGGGTTTCCCTTACTACTTTTTGCATTCTTACACTGAGATACAATTTATGAGGCAACTGCATTGAAGAATAATGATATATCCCCAGCTTCTACTTCCAGATATTGGACAAGAGAGGATACTTGTTTGGAAAGTTGGCATAAGGCATTTTTGTAAAGAGTATAATGTTTAGGCTTCGTTTGCCTCATACAACTGCTGGGGCTGGGCTGGACAGTACTGACATTCTGATCCCTATGATTCTGAATCAGATTTTAAGCCTGACACTAGTGCACCACATTGGGGTGAATGTATGTTGCACATAGTGCTGAACTTTGTTTTTTAAAGGCACCGATCTCTTAAATTTATGAGAGGTGCATGCAAGGTGCCACGTTGGAATCTCACCTTTCACTGGCCCCATAGCCTGCCTGAGGCCAGAAAGTTTTCCATGATCCACTTTTGAGCCTAAATTGACAAGCTTGGAGGCAGGTGAATGAACTATATCATCCCCCTGGACCTTGACATCGGCTGACCAATATTAGCTTATTACTGCTCTGTGAATGTGTTAGGGGAACCTTGTATAGCACATGAAAATTTGCCGACATTTTGACTGTACTTTGTCAGCTTCTGGGAACTATGCTATTTTCTTTTGTAAACTACCTTCATCCTTCTCTGTTGAAGTGGCTGATGCAGGGAATGTACTAACGGGGGCTTTTACCTTCTCTGGCTTTCTTTAACCATGTAAGTGGCTCCCAGTATCTACATTATCGATATGCACTTGCCAACATCTGGAAAAGGTGGGCTTCTTGGTAAATAGTTGTTGACTTATGAGAGAGTCAAACATAGAAAACCAGTTCAGAACTTGGCCTTGATTTGCCTCTTCTCATGAAAGTAAAATTATTCTCACTGTGAGGGACAGGGCTTTGGACTTGCATGGAAAATAATACAATATACATTTTACTCAAGGACTTGAATACATTTTACTTGCTGTCTTATACCAGTTCAGTAGCGAATGTGGTACCTGAATAGAGATTAAAAGCTTTAAAGGCCTTGGGTAGAGTAGGACTCAGAACCATTGCCCTCTCTCAAACCAAAAAGTATTTCCAGGGGACACAATAAACATCAGGGAATTGTTAACCGTAGATAAGATTTATCTAGATGGCAACATTAGGAAAACTGTCACAGGCACGATTTACTTAGCACCTATCACCAAAGACTTTTATATGTAAGATGCCATTTGCTGATTTGATTGATGCCCATAGAAACTCAGAGAGTTGTTAGGAGCTTAGCCTCAGCAGTGGAAATACTGGGTTTGAACTCTGGTCCCGTATATTGGGGATGTTTCGTGTATGTATGTATAAATTCAAAAGTATTCTGTGTTAATAGTTGGCCTTAGGAAGATGAAGAAGTCACTAATAAACGAAGTATAAATATTGGTGGGAACTGGGTACCCCCTTTTAAAATTTGAATGTCTTTGGTCCTGGGTCATGGTCATGGTGCTGGCTCAGAAATTGTAGGACAGAGCATCCTGCAAAACCAAGAAGAAATCAAGTGATAGTCATGCAATTATAATCCTTCTTTGACTTTATTCACTTTTCAATGTTACACTAGTGAATTTTGATGATTCCCACCCACTCTGTGAGAATGTGCATACTTTGGAAATTTGAATTTATCCAAATAAGCCTCCTTGGAGTGTTGGCAGAAGAGTTCTCAACTCAAAGCTCTGTCCGAACGGGTCTGGTTTCAAACACGCTCACTTGGGGTTTCCTCTGTGCTATTCCAGACCACATAGGTAGTCTTGTTTCTGAGAGCTGCCTTAGGGATTCAGGTGTAGAAGGTGGTGAGTGGTAAATGACTGGGGATTGATTTTCTTGGTTCTGCTATTTCAGAAGTCTTAGATTTTCACAAGAATCAGCAAAACCAGGAGTGAGGGTTGGGGGAATAGAGGAGTAAGCCTAAAACTCTCTCCCCTTATATCTTTTCTGACTTAACACAGTTCTTGGATCTGTTCTGTGCTATGGCCTATCACAGAGGACTATTTCAAAAGGGAAATAAGCCACAGCCTCACAGGGTAAGTCTTTAACACCAGCAGTGAAGTGCGACTCTGAGCCGTGGGAGGCAAAGATGATACTGAAGCCACCATTTCTGATGGGGGTTCCCGTTCTCAGGATGTGTGGGAGCTCAGTCCTAAGGGCTTCTACATGGTGTAGTCAATCTAACTGCATGTCTAGCTTGGCAAATAGTGTTGAAAGGTTGAGGCTTTGGGGGCCAATCAGATCACAAAGCTGATGATGGAGGGCAGTTACAAAATTTAGACAAAGTTAAAACTGGACAATTCCTTAGCTCCTTTTGCAAGAAGTCTCTAGGGAAGTGTAGTTTGAGTGTTTCTCTTGAGAGTTAAGCACTCATTTCTTTTCCTTTCTTTTTTGGGTTGAGTGTTCTCTAAAGACAATCAGAGGCCTGTGAGGACAGGACTTCTGGCGGGTTCCAGCACTGTCCTGAGGCCTCTTTCTAATACTAACTCGTTGGAACTGATGCACTTTGTTTAATGTCTGTTCTTTTATTTTTACTTTTTAAGCTGCTTGTTTGGAACAAAATGAAATGCATATTGCGTTGTATCCTTGCTTGCTGTTTTTCTCTTAATTTTAAAAGTTAATGCATTGGGAATAAAATATACTTAAGGAGAAATATGCACAAGAATACCTATTTAAAAAAAACACAAACTTCCGCCAAGTTTGATGTTATTTCAAGGGATTAAAAAAATAACTATTTTGGGTGAATATTTTGCGTGAGGTTTTTGGTGGCTTTTTTTTTTTTGTAAATAAGAATGTATATAAACTTGTGGTATATTATGGCAGTTCAAAGTGGTTGTGAGAAAATGAAAGCAGGTCTTAAGCTATGTTTAACTTCATTCAACAGCAAGAGGGCTTCTTGCCAAGAGTAAATCCTTCAAAAAAACTTTCTAGCGGGGCCTCATAGAATCATCTCCGACGGAGGAGAATATTCCTACTTTAATAAAATGAACTTTTCTAGAATTCTCCCCCCTCTCCTGCTGTCTGGGTCTTTTCCTCTCCCAATTTAGGTACTTTTATTGCAATTTAGGAAAGGTAGGAAGAGCAGTGACTGCACCCGGCACTGGGCACTCTGCTCCTGATGTCTGAAGATGCTTCTTGTTCCACTCCATTGCTCCGGTGCGGCAGCAGCCAGGCCTTAAGGATTCCTCCGCCTCTGGATGTGCAGAGCAGTGCTTTGTCAAGAACTCCATTTTTCAGCTCTGTGTGCAATTTTCCTTGAGCTGTTTGTGTCTTCAAGCAACCAAGAGTCTCCTTATGCCCATCCACAGTCTCTTCTGCTTCAAGTACACATCCTCTTGTTTGGTTCTCTCTCAACATGGACTGTTCACTGTTGAGCATCCCCATAAGAGACCTTCTTAGACTTAAAGACAGTAATGCGAATTTCCCTTACCTATTTATTTCCTCCACCTGATTTCCTGTATTTTCCCATGGTCAATACTTGTGGAGAGTTTTAAATTTTATAAATTAAAATTCAGTTTAATTTAAAAAGCATTGTGTTGCACGTTCTCTGTGCCAGGCACTATGTTGGACCCTAGGGTGAATAAAAACCAGTTCCTGCCCCCAGGAGGCTCACAGTCAGCTGTGACCGTGTCTAATTTAGCAGTCTGACAAGTTCCAGTGGAGCAGCACACAGGAGGGCATGTGGAGGTGCAGTGGGGAGAGGGAGGTCAGGCAGGCCTTGAAGCATAAATAGCCATTCATGGAGCAGGGAAAAGGAGCAGAATTCTGTGCAGCGGGAATACCACGGGAAGGCAGAGGTGTGAAAGTGCATTGTAAGAGGGCTGGAGGATTGGCACAGGAAGAGCCATTAGCATTTTTGTTCTCTGGATAATGAGGTTAACATTTCAGTTAACCAAGGAAGCTTTTGTATGGCTTTAACTCGTGTAATTCGCATGTCTTGGTGGCTTTTAGGGAAAACTTCCCTAGATAGGGTATTTATCGTCCTACACAAATGGAGCCCAGTGTCTACTGGAATAACACCGTGTGTGCACTGGCATTAAGTGGATGGATGCAGCAGGAAGGTCAGGGACTCCAGCACCAACAAGAGATGCCCAGAGAGGCGCCAGGAGGGGTTGGGAGGGTAGTAAGGGAATGTGGACTACAGGCCCTATTCGAGGTAGAGAGCAGGTTCCAAGGAGCCAGAAAGGGTTAGGTGGGAGGAAATGCGTACGTGTGAAGAGAGGTGTTGGAGACGCTGGCAAGTACAAGTTGACTTTGTTTTATGAATCACGTTCAATGTAAAAAAGGTAGAGGCATAATCACACATTTTCAGGATAAGCCTTGTATATTTCTAAGTGAAGGCGACTGGATGGAAATGACAATTTAAATTACATTTAGCAGCGAAAAAGAAGAAAGTCAACGAGGGCTGACTGGTGACTCTAAGATAAGGCTGTGGCCAGGACACCGGTATGAACGAGGAAAGCAGAGGACGCATAGGAAGGCGTATGCCTCCGTGCTGAGCCGTGGGTTGTTTTCCTCCACAACGCGCTTCAGCATAATCCAGGCTGCTTTCCGAAAAATGCAGATGACCCGGCCCTGTCTCAGGGCTACTGAGCTGGAATCTGAGGGTGGAAACCAGGAGCATTTTTAATCAGTTCTGCAGGATATGAAGGATTTAT